TCTTACGTGTTTTCACAAAATAACTAGTTACATTTGTAGAATTAATTAGACTTTGTGATTCTAAGAACTCTTGAACGAGTGGTCCTGATCTTCCATAATATCTATTACATTGTCATCATCATCATTGTGTGAAGTTGAGGCAATATGTGATGAGATAATGTGTTTTGCATATATTGCCTTTTTAATATTCATAATTTCCCTGTAATATGTATCATGTTATTCCTGTTTTACAGATTAAAAAAGCTGATATTTGGACTTAGAAGGTAGCTCAGTAGTAGAGTGCTTGCCTTGCATCCAGAGGCCCTGGGTTCGATTCCTCAGCACCACATAAGCAGGAAAGGCCAGAAGTGGCACTATGGCTCAAGTGGCAGAGAACTAGCCTTGAGCTGAAGAGCTGAGGGACAGTGCCCAGGCCCAGAGTTCAGGCCCCATGACCAACCCAAAAAAAAAAAAAAGCTGAGATTTGGAGAGATTTACAAACTCATCCAAATTTCATGGAATAGTTTCATGTTAAGCTTCAATTAAAACATAGTTCTGTTAAACTCTAAAATCTTCTAGGAAAATGAAGAGCAGTAGCATGTGCTGTAAGTTGTTTTTCTAGTTTAGGTAGTTTCCAGGTTGATTGCTTTATATACCTCCTACATTTATAATTGCACATAAATGTACACACAAATATGTATATGCGTGCATACTATTTTATCCAACTATCATCCTAATAAAGTGGCAATTATTGTCTTCATTTTGTAGTTCTAGAAAATCAAGGCCAAAAGAAAATGAAATTTGCTCATGATCATACAGCTAGACGAGGATGCAAATCTAGACATTCAAACTTTAAGTCATGCAGACTAGACCAGGCTTACCAACAGAAACTTGTGCTTTTTTTTTCTTTTGTGTTTTTTTTTTTGGGGGGGTCCAGTCGTGGGGCCTGAACTCTGGGCCTGGGCACTATCCCTCAGCTCAAGGCTAGCGCTCTACCACTTGAGCCACAGTGCCACTTCCGGCTTTTTTCTTTTTGCTTATGTGGTG